AAAAAAATACAAAAAATCAGCTGGGCATGGTGGCGGGCACCTGTAGTCCCAGCTACTCAGGAGGCTGAGGCAGGAGAATTGCCTGAACCCAGGAGGTGGAGGTGGTAGTAAGCCAAGATCATGCCATTGCACTCCAGGCTGGGCAACAGAGCAAGACTCCCTCTCAAAAAAAAAAAAAGTTTATTTTTCCCTTAGACTAACAAAACAAACACAGATGGCTGCCTCAATAACCAGGTTAATTTCAGATGAACCATGTACAGCAAATAGAGTTGCCAAGTCCTCCTCTTCCTTGAGGACTAGCTGCCGTTTATCTTGAGAGCAGGTATGTAATAAGTTGTATCTGTTTGGCTATATAAAAGGGTGAACATTTTTTTTCTGTCTTTGCAGTCTCTTTGAATATCACGTTCTGGGTTTAATACTTACCCATTAATAAAACTATTTTCTTTCTCTTCTACCTGTGTGGAGAAGATCTCTGGGTCTGGTGGATATTTTGTGTTTAATTATATGTCACCAACACCAGCCTATCCCAGGCCCCTCAGATATACCCTCCCAATCAAAGGTACACAATCACATCTATAAAAAAAAATGAGGCTCTTCTTTCTTTCTTTCTTTCTTTGCAATCCTTTTGCCTATTCTTTCCTTTTCCTTGCCTGGCTAGGACTTGCACTAGATAGAACACTCAGTGCAATGTGAAATGCAAGCGGTGATAGCAAGAACGTCTCAGCTGTGACCTCAGAGGTGACACTCTCTACCCCGTCAGCCCTCTATGTCGCTGGATTCCATGTCTGAGGACTTGGCCAACAACTGGCGAGAAATACTTCTAAAAACCCCAATAAAAATAGCAATACAACAATAAAAAAATACAAAAACATAGCAGCATAGTAACTAAGGAGCATTTACATGGTATCAAGTATTATGAGTAATCTAAGATGATTTCCAGTGTGCAGCAGGCAGGAGGCTGTGCATAGGTTAAATGCAAGCACTGGGCTATTTTGTATCATGGACTTGAGCATCAGTGAATTTTGTTATCTGCACAGAGGTCCTGGACCCAAACCCTGAGGATCTTGAGGATTTTACCTTAAACAGGTTGTTCCTTGTCATTTTTTGGTAGTTATTACTTATTATATTAAGATGTTCCCTTCTACTCCTAGCTAGCTGAGGTATTTTTTTGTTTGTTTGTTTGTTTGTTTTTTAATTTTGTTTGCTTGCTTGTTTTATCATGAGTAAGGCAGGGCATGGTGGCTCACATCTGTAATTCCACCACTTTGGGAGGCTGAGGCAAGAGCCTCCCTTGTGCCCAGGAATTTGAGACCAGCCTGGGCAACATAGGGAGACCCCCAACTCTTCCAGAAATTTAACATATTAGCTGGGTGTGGTGTCACATGCCTGTGGTCCCAGCTACTCAGAAGCTGTAGCGGGAAGATCACTTGAGCCCAGGAGTTTGGGGTTGTAGTCAGCTGTGATCAGATCACAGCACTCCAGCCTGGGCAACAAAGCTAGACCCTGTCTCAAAAAAAAAAAAATCATGAATAACTGTGAAATCATATCATGTTCTTTTTCTGTATCTACTGAAATAATATGCTTTTTTATGTTAATAAGGTGGGAATACCACATATTGGTTTTTATCTATTAAACCATTGTTGCATTGTTGGAATAAAGGGAATTTGGTCATGATTCTTTAAACTATCTTGCCAAATTGGATTTGCTAATATTTAGTCTAGGATTTTGCATCTATGTCTGTAGGAAAGAATGGCTTGAAATTTTCCTTTTTCATATTTGTCAGATCTTTTATCAAAGTTACTCTGTCCAAAAATGAGTTGGGAAATGACCGTTTTTAATGTTCTAGAAGATTTCATGTAAGATCAGTGTGATTTCTTCCTTGAGTGTTTAGAATAATTCACCATTAATGCTGTCTTGAACCTGGAAGACGCTTTTGTGTGGGGAAAGGCTATTTAATTACAGATGACGTTTCTTTAACAGATAGAGGGTTGTTCACATTTTTTATATCATTTCATTTGTTTTGGCAATTTGTGGTTTTCTAGGATTTTGTCCATTTTATCTAAACTTCCAATTTTATTGGCATAAAGTTTCTCCAGTTATCTCCTTATTATTTTATTTATGATGTTCTCATCTTCCTTCCGAATATTGACAGTTTTTTCTCCTCTGTTTTTTCTTATCAGTAATGCCAAAGGATTACATTTCTATTACTCTTTTCAAAAGAACCAACCGTTAGTGTTCTTCTGGTTTTTTTTTTTTTTTTTTTTTTAATTTTTTTTTTTTTTTTTTTTTTTTTTTTTGCACTACCACGCCCGACTTTTTTTTTTTTTTTTTTTAATTTGAGGCTTGCTCAGTTACCCAGGCTGGATACAGTGGCACAATCACAGCTAACTGCAGGCTCCACCTCCCCAGCTCCTCCTGCCTCAGCCTCCCAGGGAGCTGGGACCACAGGCGATCCACCATGCCCAGCTCTACCTATTTTAAAGTGCTCGTCTCCATCATCTGGGTCACTTGGAGGCTTGCTGCTGTTATCTGGTTTTCCTCCCTTGGTTTTCCGCACCACAGCCCTGTCACCCAGGACTTAACCTGGTAATTTCTAGGGGGGAAGAGAGGACTCAACACTCCCCAGAAGCAGCAGCTGGGATAAAAATGTCTCCCACTCACATCTGAGTATGTTGGGTCTTCTTGATGCCTATGAGCAGTGTAAAGGGGGCAGGTGGCTTGCAGACTTTGGATACCCTTTGGGAAGGCAGCCTCTCGGGTACCAAAGCCCCTGGCTTTATTACCTGAAATCTTCTAAGGCTTTATCCTAGCCCAGACTGAAGGGACACGCTGTCCTGTAGATGAGGAATGGCGTGACTCCATGCACTCACCTTCCTCCTTACAGTCACTCGTTTCTTCTGAAAATGAAGAGGAGGAGGAGAAAGAGAAGGAGAAAGAGGAAAGAAAGAAAGGGGGCGAGAGAGGGAGGGAGGAAGAGGAGGAGGAGGAGGAAAAAAAGGAAAAGAAAAGAAAAGAAACCATCAGGTGAATGATGAAATGGATGGAGACCAAACTCTAAATGGGGCTTCTGGGTGCCTCGAATGAGAGAAGAGAATGCAGTTAGTTTCCTCCGTGTCCCTGGATCCCAGGGACTCTCCTGCCTCAGGACCTTTGTGTAGGACTGTTGGCCCCACAGGGTCGTGAGGTGTCCCTTACGCTGTGCTGAGATGCAGGATCCCAGAAGTAAAGAGACAGGACACTGAAGAACTGGAGATGAGCAGCTGGACTCGGGGGGCCACGCCACCTATAAGCTGAGACAGGCAAGGCCTCGAACACCCAGAAGTGTCTATATTTATTAGGTACAAGCAGGGGGAAGGGTCGTAACTGAGGTCATCATCTATAGGCTTAGTGATAAGGCATACATAATCACGTGAGTGACAAGCGAGGGGGCCACCCCATTATGTCACCTGGGCAGAAAGGTGGGCCGTGCACAGTAGGGGGCCATGCCATGTGCAGTAGTAGAGGATCATGTACAGAAAAGGGGTCCACCCCCATTAGGTCACCGAGGCAAGGAGGTGGGCTGTGTGCAACAGCTGTCGTGCGCAACACATCTTATCTGGGGGCTGGAGACTTCAAAGGGTTTCTGATAGAAGGATACTGTAAGCCAATGCAGTGGGAGCTGGCAGACTTGTCCTCTTCTCCTAAGATATTTATGGGAGGATGATTTGAGCTAGCACAGAAGCAAGAAAAGACTGACAGGGTGTACAGACACTGTGACGTCACACCAGAGGGGTTCTTCTCCCTCGGTTATTTGTGGGATCTCAGGCCTGAGACCGACTTTCCACAGGAACTGGATGCAAGGTACTACAACTCCTCTCTCAGGAGGAGAGGCTCTAGCTCCAAGCCTGCCATGCAGCGTATGCCCTTTCAGGCAGGAATGCCACCACCTGAGTCTTTGGTTCTCGTCCTGGTCTGGCTGTTTTCCCATGTACTGCTTCTGTTCTGTGACTGCTCTAGGCATTCCTCCTACTACAAACTACTATACGGTTATATGGAAGGATTCTATAAATCGGCACTAAATGTGTCAGTACAGCTCCGACTACAATACCTGAATGATTATATAGAAAGATTATATGGAACTAAGTATGCTAGATATAAGTACTAAGTATGATTATATAAGCTAGATATATGGAAGCAGTAAGTTATACTTCAGGCACTAATTCGATAAGCTAATATATGATTATATGTAAAGGATTATATAAAGGAATAGCTGAGTAATAACATTGTAAGATATTCTTCAGGCACTAATTTTGCCTGGGGTTTGCACAGCTCTCCTTCCTCGGTGCCCGTGTGGGGGGTTACCCACACCTGTGCACATGCTGTTCTATCTTCCTGGAATGCCCTTCCCCCAGCTACGTCTGCCTCACCTGCCCTTCTTCTTCAAGCTTTTGCTCAAATGTCATGTTCCCCTGACTGCCCTTTAAAAACCTTTTTTTTTTTGAGACAGAGTTTCACTCTTGTTGCCCAGGCTGGAGTACAATGATGTGATATCTGTCACTGCAATCTCCACCTCCCAGTTTCGAGCGATTCTCCTGCCTCGGTCTCCTCAGAAGCTGGAATTACAGGTGCGCACCACCACGCCTGGCTAATTTTTTGTATTTTTAGTAGAGACAGAGTTTCACCATGTTGGCCAGGCTGGTCTCAAACTCCTGACCTCAAGTGATCCACCTGCCTGGGCCTCCCAAAGTGCTAGGATTACAGGCATGAGCCACCGCGCTCGGCCAAAAAATTTAACTTTTCCCACACTGCGTTTCCATCTCCATTACTCTGTTGTCTTCATAGGACATGACAGCATCCGACAGACCTGTAACCTACTTCTTTATATGTTTTCTCCTCTGATTGGAATACAAGTTCCACTTGGTCCCAGACTTGTATCTGTTTTGTTTTCTGCTGTATCTCCAACACCTAGAATAAGATTCTGTATAGGATAGCTAACATCAATTCATATTTGTTGGACAAATAAAAACATGCAAAACATTTGTGATGCAGATGATGGTGTGGATAAAAAGTGTAAGGTCTGGTACTATTTAAGGCTCCTCCACCATAGTGAAAAACCAGTACCCGTATATTTCTGTGCACAGGAGTGAACGCAAAATAGCATAGTCAGCAGACTTACCATGCAGTACTTGGAGGCTCAGCAAACCTAATAAGGAAGACAGGGGCATACAATGCAAGTAAGAGGGAGCAGCATGAGAAATACTTCCAGACCAACAGGTCCAGCAAGTTCGCCCCAAGCACTCCTCCTCCGAGAAGCCCAGCGGGATTCCCTCATCGTCCCCTTTCACACTGTCCCCACTGCCACCTCCTCCTGGCTGTAATGTAACTGCCTGTCCATCTCCCCACCTCCATTAGACTGTCAGTTGGAGTGAGGGTGTGAGCATGTCAGATCCGTCTTTCAGCTTTCCATCACCTCACATGGCCCCGCCTAGTATTCATACCTAATGCTAGGTATTATAGAACATTCTTCCCAAACCAGCTTCCCACAAAGTCCGGGGGCATGCACGGACCGAGGTTTTACCTAGGATCTCTGATGTGGTCCATCCGGAAGGAAATGGGGTGCAGGAAGCAAGACGTGTCAGGGGAGCAGACAGGGCCCAGAGTGTGGAGTTCCAAGGAGTCATGAAGGAGGCGGCCGCGTGTAGGGAAAAACCACAACATCAGAAGATGGAGGGATGAGCCCTGGGTGGGTCGTGGTGAGTGGTCAGGACGTGTAGACTTAACGAGGCAGACAGTCGAAGCCTGCATGGTGGGTCAGAGGGGATGGCAGTGCTTTGCAGGACTCTCACAGCAGCCGGGTTAGGCTGGGAGGGAAGCTGCCACGCCGTTCCCATCTTTTCTGTTTGGAGACGGAGTCTCGTTCTGTTGCCCAGGCTGGAGTGTAGTGGTGCAATCTTGGCTCACTGCAACCTCTGCCTCCCAGGTTCAAGTGAACTTCCCGCCTCAGCCTCCTGAGTAGCTGGGGTTACAGGTGCCCACCACCACGCCCAGGTAATTATAGTTTTGTAGAGATGGGGTTTTGCCGTATTGGCCGGGCAGGTCTTGAACTCCTGACCTCAGATGATCCACCTGCCTTAGCCTCCCAGAGTGCTGGGATTACAGGTGAGAGCCAATGCGCCCAGCCTTTTTTCTGTATATTTTGTGTCCCTCTAATGTGAGTACCTACATACGTCATCCAAGGGCTGGCACACTCCATCCCTCCAGCTCTTGTTGTTTTCTGAACTTGTTTTCTTAGTAACAGCTTGGTTGGTATATTAATATAATTCACGTCACTTATGAGTCACCCATTAAGTGTACAAGATAGTATTTTTTAGTACATTTACAAAGCTGTGCATCCATCACCACAATAAATTTTAGAACATTTTCATCACTCGAAAAAGAAACCATGTACCCGTTGGCCATTGCCCCCAAACCCGGTGCCCCTGCACAGTCACTCCCCGTTTCTCTGGGCTCACCCTCCTCTCCCGTGGTCCTGGGCAACCACTAAACTGCTGCTTCTACCTATGGACTTGCTTCCTGTGGACATTTCATAGAGCTCGAGTCATATCCTCTGTGCTTTTGTGTCTGGCTTCTTTCACTGAGCACTATGTTTTCAAGGCTCATTTATGTTGTCTCCTGTGTCAGCACTTTCTTTGTGGCCGAATAACATTCCATTGTATGAATAGACACATTTTGTTTACTACCCATTCATTGGTGGGTGGACATCCTGACACCTGCTTTTGTAGATAAAGTTTTATTGGAACAGAGCCATGCCCATTCACAGTGTGTTGGCTACTACTTTTGTAAATAAAGTTTTATTGGAACAGAGCCATGCCCATTCACAGTGTGTTGGCTACTACTTTTGTAAATAAAGTTTTATTGGAACACAGCCATGCCCATTCTCTATGTGTTGTTTGTGGCTGCTTTCAGGCCACAAAGGCAGCATTGAGTAGCAAGTGGCTGCAGAGACCACCTGGCCCTCAAAGCCTAAGATATTTACTATTTGGCGCTTTACAGTAAAGAAAAAAGAATTGCTGATTCATCCCTGCTTTATGTCATTGAATTCTTAAACAAAAAATATTATCTCCATTAATCAAGTAGGAAAACAGAATCTAAGGAAGTTTGAGTAAGTTATACCCAAATGATAGATGATGGGAGTAGAATTCCCACCCAGGTCTGTTAACCCTGAAACTCAGGCTGTCTCGGCTGAACCACATGCATCCTGGGTGAATGTGTGGGTCAGGGAGAAAGAGCCCCTGTGCATCGCCGGGCACAGAGCTTGGCACCTGGTGGGCCCTTAGGCAGGTGTTTGGGATTTTCTTGTTGGGTTTGGGTTTTGCTTGTTACTGGAGCAGGGCTGGGTCCGCTTTTCGTTTGCGAGGTGCTGTGGGTGCAGCCTGAGGATGCAGGAAGGAGAAGGGCCTGAGGAAAGGAGCAGAAGGAGCAGGACAGAGGTGCCTCCTGCAGACGTGGGGCGTTCCGAACAAACGCAATTGAGGCAGTTTGATAAGAGCCCCGGCTGAACTCTTATCCCATGCCAGACACTTTATTCAGCGGGGGGTTCTCGACCTCCAGACGAGTGACATTTGGGACTGCATAGTTTTTTTTGTTGTGGGGGGCGGGGTGTCCTGTGCATTGTAGGGTGTTTAGGAACATCTCAAGACTCCCCCCATTAGGTGCCATTAGCCTCCTCCACCACCTCCCCGAGTCCTGACAACCAAAAATATCTCTAGGTGTTGCCAGGCGTCCCCTGAGGGGCCACATCTCCCCAGGTGAGGATCATCCTGCTCACAGCACGATCCTGTTTACTCCTCACAACCTTGTGAGACTGGAACCATTACGTGTGTTGTATAGACCAGGGGGCTGCGCCTCTCAGGAGGTGAGGGCCCAAAGCCCCACAGAACTAGAAAACGGTGCAGTAAGGACCTGCACCCACAGCGCACACTCTGCCGGTTCTGCTTTCCTTTCTTAGCTTAATTTTATCGTTTTTACAACACACACAACATAAAATAATAATAATACTTCCAGTGTCGGGATGCAGCAGGGACCTCGTTAGTCTGAGCTGCTTTAACCATGTTCTAGTTTGCACTGTTTAATAGCACCGTTTGGGGATCAGATTGGGCTTCAGTTATTCTCTGCACCTTACTGGCTGTGTGAGCATGAGCAAGCTACTCGCCTTCTCTCACCACCATGTTTTCAGCTGTAAAACAAGGATGATGGCTTGGGGACTATCACGAGTCAAGCACTTACAACTGTGCCTGGTGCCTGGAATGTGCTCTTGAGCTGCCGGATACCCTTTTTCGATTTGTTTTTTCATATCAGGGTGTCTTGGGTTTCATTGAGGCTCCAGCTGCACAGAAGTGGGGTTTGGAGGTAATCGTGAGGCGTGGACAGGATGATGTCTCAGAACTGGGGTTTAGATGGCTTTGAATGTGGACCAAAAGAGAAGAGTGTGTCCTCAGCCAAAAGGCAGAATCAACCCGAAAGTCTATCAATGGATGATTGAATTAAAAGTGCAGTCTATCCATATAATGGAATATGACTCAGCCATAAAAAGGAATGCAGCACTGACACAGGCCACAGTCTGGATGAACCTCGAGGCTACGACGCTGAGTGAATGAAGCCAGACACAAAAGACCACACAGTGTATGATTCCACGTCTGTGAGGTACCTAGAATCCTCAAATTCGTAGAGACAGAAAGTGAAGTGGTGGTTTCTGGGCTTGGCTAAGAGTGGACCTCCCTTGGCAGAGATGAGAACGGGAGCAAAATAGAAGGGGTCAAATGTGAAACAAGACTTACGTTTCAATACTGTTGAGATGCCAGGAGCAGAAGATCCAGTGGGCATTGTTGGGCACCAGTGGAGGCACCGAGAGGAGAGGAAAAGAAAGAAGTTAATAACGCCTCCTCCTAGCTCCTCCCACCCTGCTGGTTCTCAAAACAGACCTTCCCAAAAATGAGAAATAAAGTATCTTCCAGATTCAATGGATTAGACTGGGGCCCATGATGGATGACTTGAGATGATTCTTTGAGACATTACTCCTTTAGAGATGCATTAATCCAGGTGGACAGAGCCCCAAGTATCCAGTTTCCATGGGGATTAATCTTCCAGAGATTAAGAAGATACTAGAGCATCCCTTTGAGTCTCCAGGGTTCTCTCTCATTTCTCGCCTGAGGGTCAGGAGGGAGAGAGCTTGAGGAAGAAGCAAGGCACTCCTCTTTGGTTCTCTTCTCAGTCACCCTCCCAACAAATATGTACAACTCAATACTTTCTTGTCTTCTGGGGCAATGGTCCTGTGAGCTCAGCGATGTTATATGCTAAGGGCTCACACACAGTCCTGCATGTAGCCCCAGACCCACCCATACCCCAGACACACCCTTACGGCTCTCCACACAATCTGGGGCTTGCTGTCCACCCTGAAACTCCTTCAGAGAGGGGGGCAGCTGATGGAGGGTCTCTCTCAACTTGTGTTCTACATGGAGAACTACCCGAAGATTCCCTTCTTTTTCTTGTTGCCTCTTCTTCCCAGCACCTGAATACTTCCAAGTGACCCATAGGAAAGGAAAAATAACTTACTTTTTACTGGAGGAAGTAGCAGAACCAGCATTCAGGGAGTCAGTATGGAAAAGAGTGAGCAAGAGAATAGAATCAGCAGACATGACATTCAGTTATTCCTCCATTCAGTGTTTTAAACTCTTTATGTATTAATTTTCAATAGAGAAGGGGTCTCCCTATGTTGCCCACGCTGGTCTTAAACTCCTGGGTTCAAGCTGTCCTCCCACCTCTGCCTCCCAAAGTGCTGGGATTACAGGCATGAGCCACCGTGTCTGGCCCAAAGATCACCATTTGGGAGGCAAACACAAGAGCTTAGAATTCCATCACAGACATCCTCCTTCTTTGATATGAAGTAGGGTCCTGGACCTTAATTTTAAACAAAGACCCTGACAAGCACTGCTTTAGCTCAGAGGTCAGCAAATGTTTTCTCTAAAGGGTCTGACAGTAAATAGTGTAGGCTTTGCAGGCTACATGGTCCTAGTCATAGCTAGGCAACTCTGCCATTAGAGCACAAAGACAACTACAAATAATACCTAAATGAATGGGTGTGAATGTGTGTCAATAAAACTTTATTTATGAAAGCAAGCAGTGGGCCTGTCTGGAGTTTGCTAAGTCCTGCTTTATCTCAGTAGTTCTCAAACCATCTGAGCCAAATCATCAGAAGCACCTGAGAAACCTTTGGAAAGAACAGATTCCTGGGTCCCACCCCTTGGTATTCTCATGCAGAAGGCCCAGATAGAACACCGATATCTGTCTTTTTGAAAAAGTTTCAGATAATCAGTTTGGGGAAACTTCCCTTTATAACTTGTGTTCCATTTGACCAGTGCTCTTGTAAGAATTCAGTAATATAATAGAGGCAGGTTCTCCAGTATTAGTTTTCTTCAGCTCCTTCTAATGAGCAAAAATAACATGAATAAGATGTGCAAGAAACATGTGTGAGCGCCAGAAGTGGTGGCTCATGCCTGTAACTCCCCCACTTTGGCAGGCCAAGCTAGGAAAATCGCTTGAGCCCAAGAGTTTGAGATCAGCCTGGGCAACATGGTGAGACCCCGTCTCTACAAAAAAAGAAAATATCAGCCAAGTATCGTGGTGTGCACCTGTAGTCTCAACTATTCAGGAGGCTGAGGCAGGAAGATTGCTTGAGCCTGGGGTGTCTAGGCTGCAGTGAGCTATGATTGCACCACTGCACTCCAGTCTGGGCAACAGAGTGAGAACCCATCCCCAAAAAAGAAAAACCAAAAAACCACCCACACACAAGAGAAACATTTGTGTAGTCCAACTATGTGCCATACGGTTTTCTAGGACATGTACTAAAAGATGAACAAATCTTTGATCTTAAGGATCAGTACTCATGAGAAGAGGGGCCTCGTTCCATCTTACCCAAACTAGATAGAGTATAAATATGTCTGTCTTCACGAGAGGTTGCTCCACCATCTTCCTTTCTTGAAATTTCCCCTACCTTCTGTAAAGGGCCTGGCCCCTTTCTCTCCCCCAGATTATCACTTTTCCTTTGGAAGACGAATGGGGTAAGCTCCCTCGCATTGGAGCAATTTCTACACCAAATAAAAAAGATATAGCTTACACTTAGTGAGGTGCTGAAGATGGTTTACAAGAGACAATTACTAAAATTCAGAAATTGTACAAGGCAGCTGTTAGACCCTTAGTAGCCTGAAATCAGGCACGGTCAGAGTATTTACACCATGGGAAATGGCAGTCACTACAAATCAGGGCATCCTTTCCCACTATCCTCGTGCAGAGGTGGTTGTTAGACATTTACCAGCAGCTTAGATTCTTCAGCAGAACCTGTGCTGATGATGCTTCTGATGCCAGGCGAATGGCTAAACACTGGGGCCTGGACCAGCCCTTCCCTGACATTTTTTAAAGAGTTTGAAAGCCCAGAGTGGGTTATGAGAATCTAATTTCAGAGACAGAGACTGTCACAGTACTTACTTTCTTCTTCTGTCCTATCTGGAGGCAACAATGTAGGCAGCCCAGGTTCCAATGGAGGTGCAGAGTAGAGAGAGAAATCAACAATAAGACATGGGTCTCAGACACCACCAACTAAGCATCCCTGACCAGTCAGGACAGCAGAGGTAGAGATGAGGCAACCCAGCTCACTCATTTTATGGGTGAAGACACAGACTCAACTACTCAGTCACACCTTCTAACAAATGTTTATGAGGCATCTCCTGTGTGCTGGGCATCACACAAGGTATGGAGGATGCAGTGGAAAGCAAAGCAGGCCTGACCCAGGTGCTCAGGGAGCTCACAGACGAGTCAGAGAAGCAGGCAGCAAAGGCATCAAAAAGTGGGGTGAGTATTTTGGGTAGACTTGCTGGGTTCCGTGGGAACCTGTAAGGGGGTGATGGTTGCTGACCTTGTGGGGACGCCAGGGGAGGCATCTTGAGGGAAGTTAGGTTGTGTCTGAGACCTGGAAGATGAGCATGGGTTAGCTGGGGGAAGAAATTTGGCAGAGGAGGGAGGAAAGAGTCGCAGACAGAGGGGACAATGTGGGCATCTTCCTGGGCAGGTTGGACCCTGCAGGTGCGGGAGGATTGAAGGAGGCCCACTGTTAGGGGTCTGTTCACCTGCTGGCATTCCTCACAACGTGGTGCCCCTATTGTGGGGAACATCGGCAGGTTAACAGACCCCAACAGTGATACCCAACATGGGGCGATCCTGACAGTAGCCCACCTCAGGGGCACGGTGGTGGAAGGTGACCGTGGCACGAGGCGTGGCTGGAGAGTTTCTGGAGCTCAGTGATGCTGTGCCCTGGGAGTCAGCTTAAGGGCCTCAGCCTTCACCCTGAGAACAGCGGAATGCCACCCGTTAGGACCTGTGCTGCAGTCCTGGCTCTGCCACCCCAGCCTCGTGACCACCAGCAACTCACTCCATCTACTTGTGCCTCAGTCTCCTCATTGAAAAGTGGAGTCATAATTAAGAGACCAACCATCCTGGTTTGCCCAGATGCAAGGGGTTCCCAGGATGGAAGGGTTTCAGAGCTAACACTGGGGATGTGCTGGGGCGAGCTGGTCGCTCTAGATGTTGTGGCATTTACACCTCTTAGAGTAGTTAGAAGGACTAAAAGAATCAGTGCACAGGAATACTTGGAAATTCATGGGCCCATTTAAGGTGCTGAATGAGTCTACTCTTAGAGGCTACCTTGCCTCTGATGCTCTGCCTCCTTCGAGGCCTCAGTTTCCCCAGCTGTTTAGTGAATCAGATGATTTCCAGCCCTGTGAGTCTGTGACTCCCGCCACATCCACCTCGACTCCCCGCCGTTGTTATATCTGACAGTGGCTGCTTTAGATTGGTACTTGGTTTCATGTCAGGCACTTCACATGTGGAATAAGAACATTTCGCTTTTTATAAAGTCCAGCTGTTGTCCGGGCGCAGTGGCTCATGCCTGTAATCCCAGCACTTTGGGAGGCTGAGGCAGGCAGATCATGGGCTCAGGAGTTTGAGGCCAGCCTGACCAACATGGTGAAACCCCGTCTCTACTAAAAATACAAAAATTTGCTGGGCATAGTGGCGCATGCCTGTAATACCAGCTACTTGGAGGCTGAGGCAGGAGAATCGCTTGAACCCGGGAGGTGAAGGTGGCAGTGAGCCAAGATCGCGCCACTGCGCTCCAGCCTGAACAACAGAGCAAGACTCCATCTCAAAACAGTAACAATAATAAAATAAAAAAATAAAGTTCAACCACATTCCAAGGAGGAAGGTTCTGGCACACAGAGGGCTGGTATATATGGGTTGGGTGGATTTTGGGGGACAGGAGTGAGGGAGAATGGAATTATTGAGCTTGTTTAAAGGAGAGGGCTGCAGCTTCACAGGCAATGTGGGAGGGACAAAAGGCGGGAGGAAAAGTAAAGGAGAGGTGAGGAGAGGTGAGCAGAGCTGGTAAGGCGGGGGAAACCATGTGCTCAAGGTTGGGGTATTCCTGACACTCTCACCTTTATCAAAACTCAGTAATTGTAGGTTTCTGTAAGATTTTTCCTACAACACGTTTCTGAGGGGAATCCATGGAGGAAAGTCCTACTTCCAGGTTGATGGGCAAACAGAGAAAGTGCATGGTTGTTTAGCCACCTAAGATGGACAGAACTCAGAAACTGTCATCATAGGACTAACAGAAACCACAAGGAGGACTTTGGAGTCCAGAACCCATGGAATGGTGGGGGTGGCGAGGAGCCGAACCCACTTTCACTGGCGCCCTAATATCTGAGTGTTTCTGACATTGTATCATAATCTCACAACCACAGTGCAATGTGTGCTGCTAATGCTGGTTTACCGGGTAGCAAACAGACTTGGCCTGGGTGGTGTGTGCGGGTAATAATGGAGCCAGGTGGAATTCTGGATGCGTATGTTTTGGGAAGTCTGGCTGGCATTCCCTCTGCTGGGCATCTCTAGCAGTGAGAGATGAAGGCTTAGTGACGCTGAGGAGATCTCAGGGGGACACAGATTCAGCTCTAACTCCTTGGGTGCCCCCTGGTGAGAGTTTTTCTCCTTCCAGTTCTCTTCCAACCAGGGGGAAATTCTCAAAATGGCGCCGACTCATCGTTAATTCTTAACACTTGCTAGTCTTCCTTTCTACCAAAGAGCGAGAACAACCTTCACTCAACGAGCCTTGGCAGAAAAGTGTCGAGTTACAGTTTAATGACGTTTTGTTTTCATATTTATCTTCACAGCCGTCTCCTTATGACAAGCAGTGTAGAGCCCTTTTCAAGTTTATTTACTTAAGGAAAACGCTGTGTGTCCATTTAAAGAACGATAGACATGGGGGTTCTGGTAGTGCATAGATGCAGCAAGAAATCTTGATGAGGTTCAGTCTATCTGTGAGAAAAATACTGGGGGAGCAACTTTTTTTTTAGCCATCACATTGTCAAAAGTAAAAAGTGAGATAATATTCCATGTTGCTGAAGGTGTGGGGAAACGGGCGTCCCCACAGGCTGAATATGAGGGTGCAAATGTGTTCAACACCTGTCCACATTTAAAAGGCAGATACCCTTTGGCCCAGCCATTTCCCTTTTAGGAACTTAACAGGTACGAATTTGCAAAACTAAAAAAGCCATGACTCTATAAGGATTTCCATCGTACCACTGTTTGTAATAACATCAAAACAAAATAAAACTGAAATCAAAATATGTTAGGAATCCCAGTCAACAGGATGAAAGGAAACTAAAAACTAGAATCATATATTAGGAAAAAAACTAAATGTACGTGAACCAGAGGCTCATTAAATTATGGGAGTCTACATGAAGCATTTTTCAGGTGTCTGAAAGAGGTAAAGTTATATTGCTAAAATACATAATACTTTTAGCTTGAAGAGTTAAGGATGTACATATATGTGTGTGTGACTATTTCTTGGGAGATTACATGTGAAACTAGAAATGGTGCTTGCTTCTAGAGAGCAGAGCTGGGAATGTGGTGAAGAGAATGATTTTGACTTCATTTTATATTCCCTCAATATTTTCCCATGTGCATATGCTATTCATAAAACTTTAACACTCCACAGCGTAGTAATTACTAGGCAAAATTCTAGCTGTAACCTTATATAGTAATAAATATTTTTATTGCATCAAAGCTCAAACAAAACATGTGATTGGATAATGCCTGAAATGTTCTATAGACTCTTCATAAAAGCATAAATGACTCAATAAGTCTGCATTATCTTGGAGACAGGAGAAAAGAAAGACGAAGTCCAAAGGACGTAATCCCAACACTTACCATCTGGTGACAGTCTGCTCATCAGACCTGAGGAGGAAGACATAACAAATGATGTGCAAATGCAACAGAAGGAAATATTTCTAATTAATAGATTTCCCCCAGTTCAACAGCTTTAACAAACTCTCTTCTTCGGGAAGTGTGGCCATAATGCCTCAGTCATGCCTCATTATTCCCACTTAATCCCTGTTCCTGCCTCTATCAATCATAGAAAGTCCAGGCACGGTGGCTCAGGCCTGTAATCCCAGCACTTTACAGGGCTGAGGCAGGTGGGTCGCCGAGGTCAGGAATTCAAGACCAGCCTGCCCAACATGACAAAACCCTGTCTCTACTAAAAATACAAAAATTAGCTGGGCATGGTGGTAGGCGCCTGTAATCCCAGCTACTCGGAAGCTGAGGTGGCAGAATCGCTTGAACCCAAGAAGCAGACCCTAGATTGCGCCACTGCACTCCAGCCTGAGCAACAGAGTGAAACGCCCTTTCAGGAAAAAAAAAAAAAATCATAGCAAGCATCACTTGTATTTCCTTGTCTCTGTTTCTCACCAGACTCTGAGTTTATACAGAATGAGCACATCAGATCCACCTCTGGGCTTCCAGGCCCAAGCATGAGTCCAGGTACATACTAGATACTCAGAAATCCTTGCTTAAAATTTCCCACCAAAGTGCACAGTTCAGGGGTGTTGCGAAGTGGCAAGGTATTTACCTACGATCCCTGATGGCAGCCCATCCAGGAGAGTCAGCGTGGTGGCCAGTGTGACATGCGTGGTGCAGAATGTTGTGCCCAAGAGGTTGCAAAGGGGAAGCCATAATCAGAAAAACAAAACAAGGTCAGATGCTGGGGACTGGGAACAGATGGGGAAGTAGAATCCATGAGGGGTCATGCATGGCGAGCAGTCGGGGACTGGGACTCAGGACGCTGTGAGATGATTGAGGACCCCTGTGCATTTGGTGCAGGGAAGAGCTTCCAAAGTAGGAAAACAGATTGGGACAACAATTGTGAACCGTTCTTCATTCATGCTAGGAACAGAAGAAAAGATGAGCCTCGATTGCCTCTAGAAAGAGGGGCCAAGCTCTGTACTTGTATTTACCCCACACCAACCCTCTGAGCTCAGATGTTGTCCCCGTGTTGCTGATGAGGACAGGTGAACCTCCAAAGAATTATGTGATTTGCAAAGACCTGTGCAGCTGGTGAGTGAAAAAGCAGGAACTCAAACTCAGATCTCCCTGACTTCTATAAATCTCCATTTCCTCATCTACAAAACGAGAATGTTAACTGGGACAAGGCATCCTACGTATTGAAGAATCCCATGGAGTTTGCTAGTGGAAAGTGCTGTACTTATGCAGCTCACAACACCATTCTCCATATCCCTTAAATTCAGCTGGTAGATAATGCCTGATGTTGGGAATATTGATGTGGGCATTGAATGGTTGATATCCAGGTGATGCATTTTACTAAGTGGGTAGCCTTGGGATGATCAGTGAATTCTCTGTACTCCGCAAAATGGACATGTTATTTCCTGTTTGGAGCTATGTCAAAAAAGGAAAATAATGCAGATTGAGTACTTAGGGTAGCTCCTGGCTCAAGGTCAAGGTTAGTAAAGTTAGAAATAGTACTATGAGGTAGGTAATAATGACGATGAGAATAATAATATTGCAGTTGTATGTAAGGGTGTGCCCGTGTGTGCGTAGTGGGGCGGCAATGTGGACTCAGAAGGAGGTAGCGATGAGGATAATAATATTGCAGTTGTATGTAAGGGTGTGCCCGTGTATGCGTAGTGGGGGCAGCGATGTGGACTCAGAAGGAGGTAGTGATGAGGATAATATTGCAGTTGTATGTAAGGGTGTGCCCGCGTGTGTGTAGTGGGGCAGCGATGTGGACTCAGAAGGAGGTAGTGATGAGGATAATAATATTGCAGTCGTACGTAATGGTGTGCCCATGTGTGTGTAGTGGGGCAGCGATGTGGACTCAGAAGGAGGTGGTGAAGCCTGAGTTGAAAATATTTTGTGACTGTAACTTCATTTAGCTTTACAAGGCAGGCACAGAGAGGCGAAGTGACTTCTGTAAGGTGGCCTCACCTGGGAAGGAGGAGAAGTATGCTCTGAAAGCAAAGTGCATACTGTGGACCCTGCCACCTTACTGCCAGTCATCATCTCACCTTCTGACCTAGCCTCCTGCCTCCTAATCTTGTAAACTGAATTAAAAGCCATGGTTTCATTCCACCTAACTGGCTCCAGATGGCTATCTCTAGGAATTATTAAATAGAGATGATGGTGGCTTTTAGTTCCTGACCTCAGAAAGCAAAGATGTAAGTCAGTGTGTCTAACCAAACTTTATTACAGATGTCAAGTAGACCTGAATTTAGCTCGCAGACCTGACAGCTTTCCTTGAGCCATGTGTGGACCTTCCTGAAGTTTGGACCATGAAAGAGTGCTCAATTTCTGGGCAACTGGCTTTTGGGGAGCTGGGGGCGAGTAGTAAAAGGGTTTGTTGTTGCTGTTGTTCATCAAAGGAGAATTCCAGCGCTTGGTTTTACTAGTTTCTCTATTAGAAGCTAAGCGGTGAACAGACCAGAGAAGAAACAAAAGTTGAAGTTCAGCAGCAATGATCCCTTTGGGACAAAGGAAAACGAACCCAAAGGGTAAGAGATGGAATGAGAGTCTTACCTTTCAGCACTGTTGGCACGCAAGCAGCAGGAAGGGCAGGACCAGTGGTAGCCGGTGAGAGCCACGTTGCCATTAAAGGTTCAGAGAGAATATGAAACGAATTAAGTCATCCTTGGTACTTCATTGTACCCCATAGGTCCTGAGATGGGTTAGGGAACCAGAATGGGGGTCTGCAATCCATTCTAAGTGGATCGGACCCCTTTGGAGGCACATTTGCCCTGAAGTCAGAAGTTTCAGGGGTACCAGTAGCCTAGGGAATCCAAGCCCTCCTTTCTCCACCTGAATTTCTAGCATAAGGCGGGTCTCCATAATAACCACGTGTCATCTCCATTTCTCAGCTGGAGACCTGCATGTTAATTCTGGGAAAGGAAGAAGTCTTACCCACCCTGTACCATATTTTTCTCATCTAAAACCCACCAACAAATACATACAATCTAATCCAGGTGTACATTCTAGAGCAGAGGTTCCTAGACTGTGTTAGTTAGGTCATTGGTTCTTCTGAAAATCTGATCAAAGCCATATTCCGAGAACACCACACAGGTTCTCTTTCTCTCTGACGGCACACCCAGCTTTAGACCTGATGACAAAGGCTTATTGGCCTCCTAGAAGTCCTTCCAGGTGCACCCCTCCTCCCCACTGCAACCTGCAGGTTCTGGAGGAAGAGGCCATGTTTGCATTGCGGGCATCTGAATCTGCTCAGGTTGAAGGTGACAGTGGTTGTGCCTCTCCCTTTCATTCCCTTTTTTCTCTAGGTTGAAGGGCTCCCCGTTTGTGTAGGGAGAAGGAGACATGACTTACAGTTGACTGGAACGGGCAGCAGAGCCAGGAGCCAGTGAATCAACATGGAAAATGCAAAGAAGAGAGTAGGGTTAATACTAATATCATCCATCCCTGTTAATTTTCACATGCATTTCTTTGTTCCTTCATGGAACATTTATTTGCCTGTTGTTATACGAAGGGGAACCTTTATATGGGACACGATTTTTATGTAGTTTGTCATATAGATTTGACAAAGATCAATACAGCAATAGCACTGTAGTGGCATGAGTGTTGGAAACCCTTTAACTTTGCAGTTTCAGAAATTAATCTTACAAATATATATTTATATAAACATATACATGTGTATGTGTATACACGCACACACACAGTTGACGCTTGACCAACACAGGTGTGAACTGCATGGTTACGCTTATGCTTATCCACTTATATGTGAATTTTCTTCTGCCTCTGCCACCCGAGACAGAGAGACCAACCCCTGCCCTTCCTCCTTCTGCTCAGCCTACTCACTGTGAGGATGACAAGGATGAAGACCTTTATAATGATCCACTTCCACTTAATGAGTAGTAAACATATTTTCTCTTTCTTAATAACATTTTCTTTTCTCTAGCTTACTTTATTGTAAGAATCAGCATGTAATATATGTAACTTACAAAATATGTGTTAATCTACTGTTGATGTTATTGGCAAATCTTCTGGTCAACAGTAGGCTGTTGGTAGTTAAGTTTTGGGGAAGTCAAAAGTTATACGTGAATTTTCAACTGCGCTGGAGATTGGTGCTCCTCACTCTTACATTGATCAAGGGTCAGATGTGTATGTTATGGTTTGAGCGTGTCCCCCAAATAGCATGTGCTGGACACTTAATCCGAAATGCAACAGTGTTGGGAGGTGGGGCCTAATGGGAAGTATTTACATCACGAGGGCTCAACTTTCAGGGATAGACTAATGCTGATTGTAGAGGGGCTTGAAGCTTTGAGCTCGCTTGTGAGCTTGTTCTCTCTCACAGTATGTCCTTCCATCACAGGATGGCACAGAAGGCTCTTACAAGATGCCAACCCCTCAGTCTTGGATTTCCCAGCCTCCAGAACATAAGCCAGTAAATTTCTATTCATTATAAATTTTACAATCTCAGGTTGTTATGGCAGCCCAAAACAGACTAAGACAGTAGTTATATAGAGACGATAAATATGTATCTACATAGAGATATAATTCTACGTATATCCATACATAACCCTACAGATATAAATATATAGATCTACATTGATATATATCCCATATATCTAATTTAATGTAAGCTGAATTTTTCTCTGAAGCATTGTTTAAAAGAGCAAACTGCCGGAAACAACCTGAGTGGCCATTAGTATGTGACTGGACAAATAAATTATGGACTTCTATACAACAAATATTATGCAGCCAAAAACATATAAGTAGGATTTGAGGATGCTCCTTATGAACTGACATAGAGTCATCTTCAGGAAGTATTATCAGGAGAAAAAAGTAAGGTACATACAGAACAGTGTGTGTAATATGCTGTCTTTTTTGTAAAAATAGAAACAAGAAGATTTTGAACATGTAAATACATATTTGTTTCTACTTGCATAAAATATCTCTGGAAGGATCTGGAAGAAATAGTTAATATCAGATTCTTTTGGGGAAGGGAAATGAGTGAATAGGTTGGAAAGGAATTTTTTTCCAGTATAACCTTCAGAACTTCTTGAATTCTGAACCCTGGACATCTTATTTTAAATGAAAATAACATGATGTTTTAAATCAAATATTTAATTAGTAATTTAAATGTAATTAATGTTTATTTTAATTAATTTAAATATTAATAAAATGATTTAACATAAAACAAAACATTTAAATTAAAACAGCATAATATTTTAAATTGAAACATAAAGTGTGGATCGTGAGATGTTTGCATTTGTCTAGGCTTAGAAAGTTCAGCTTTCGAAGACAGGAAGGAACTCACATAGGCTAGCTTTTTAGGTATAAAAAACCCAAAATCTGATCTGCAGGCATTTTAGCTCACCAGGTCTGGTGTGGGGATTACATATTTTTTAAGTTTCCAAAGTGATTCTCATGATGATGGTTCTGTGAGGATTCAGAGCTTTGGAAACCTCAGACCCAGTGTGGGACACTTACTACTTTGAAAATTAAATCGCATGACATATTTTAAATTCTCAGTGCATGCTAGATGCTTAATTAATTCATGTTGGTTCCTTTTATCTCCTTTCGAGCTGAAATAATTAACACTAACTTATATTTTCACAGTGCTTTCCATTTTGCAAACCTCTTTGCATTTATTTAGTCCTGCTGAGAGCTAGGAATTTTGCTAGGCTATAGAAATAAACAGAGGAGTAAAATACAGTCCCTGCCCTTTAGGAACTTAGGGTCCTGCAGTCTCATCAGGGTGGAAAAAAGAGCTCTTTTTCCCTTCCATATGACTTGGAGCAGAAATTCTCAGAGTATCATCCAAAGACCACTTGGTGGGGGTGCGAGATGGTCCCTGAGACCCTTTCTGGGGATGTGATGGTTGATCTGGGGTGTCAACTTGACTAAGAGGTACCCACAGAGCTGGTAAGACATTTTTTTTTTTTTCTTGGCTGCTATAACAAAATATACATATTTATTCTCAGTGCTTCAGTAGGCACAGGGTCCATCCGTCTGCTGAAAGGGAAGCCCTAGTGGTCTGGCAGTTGATGAGAATGACTGGGCTGCCCTGGGTGTGTCTGTGAAGGTGTTTCTGGAGGATGTTGGTGTGTGAGTTGGAAGACTGGGTGGGGAAGATCCACCCTCCTGGTGGGTGAGCACCATCCAATTGAATGGAGGCCCAGATGAAGCAAAGAGGTAGAGTAAGGGTCAATTCTTGCCCTCCCTTCTGCAGCTGGGACGCCCTTCTCCTGGCCCTGGACGTCAGAACTCCAGGTGTTCCAGCCTTTGGGATTCTAGGACTTGAGCAAGCAGGCCCCTGAGCTCCCAGGCCATTGGCCTCAGAATGAGACAGACTATCCGTCAGCTTCCTTGGTTCTGAGGCCTTCAGACTTGGCCTGAGCCACCCTACCGGCTCTCCTGGTTCTCCAGCTTACAGACCCCACAACTGCATGTGCGAATTCCCCTAACAAATCCATCCTCAAATATCAACATCTATATCTGTATGTATCTCTCCATCTTCATGATTCTGTTTCTGGAGAACTCTGCCTGAAACAGGGGTCTGCATGATCTTCCCTTTTCCAACTCCTTATCTGCGTGAGAGTAGGTTTTCATTTGCTTCAACCAAAATAGCATATTGTGGCAGGGCGGGGCAGCTCACACCTGTAATCCTAGCACTTTGGGAGGCCAAGGCGGGCAGATCACTTTAGGTCAGGAGTTCAAAACCAGCCTGGCCAACATGGTGAAACCTTGTCTCTCCTAATTATACAAAAATTAGCCAGGCATGGTGGCATGCACCTGTAATCCAGCTACGCGGGAGGCTGAGGCAAGATAACTGTTTGAACCCAGGAGGCAGCTGTTGCGGTGAGCCAAGACTTTGCCACTGCGTTCCAGCCGTGGTGACAGAGCAAGACTGTGTCTCCAAAATAAACAAATACATACAATATTTTTAAACATAGCACATTGTGACAGACTGAAGCAGAAATGAGAATTCAGCTGTTTTTTATTAAACTAGACATGAAAGAGATTTGCAAAAATGTAAAATAATACCTTTCTTCTCACTAAACTTTTTCAGTTTGGAAACAAATGGCCATTTCACTGAAACATTTTATTTATGTCAATATGTGTATTATCTTTATTTTTAAAATATTTTTAATTTCCTGGCCGGGTACAGTGGTTCACACCTGTAATCCCAGCACTTTGGGAGGCTGAGGTAGGCGGATCATCTGAGGTCAAGAGATCAAGACCATCCTGGCCAACACGGTGAAACCCTGTCTCTACTAAAAATACAAAAATCAGCTGGATGTGGTGATGCATGCCTGTAATACCAGCTACTCAGGAGGCTGAGACAGGAGAATCACTTGAACCCGGGAGGTGGCAGTTGCTATGAGCTGAGATTGCACCTTAGCACTTCAGCATGGGTGAAGTGAGACTTTGTGTCAAAAAAAAAATTTAATTTCGATAGCTTTAGGGGTACACGTGTTTTTGGGGACGTGGATGAGTTGTGTAGCGAAGTCCGGGATTTTAGTGCACCATCACCTGTGTTAGGTACATTGTGTCCAATAGGTAGTTTTCATCCCTCACCTCCCTGCCACCCTCCTTCCTTCTGAGTCTCTATTATCCTTATTTTTTAATGAAGTAATAGGTATTTTAATAATAGCTTTACTGATATATAATTCACATACCATGCAGTTCACCCATTTCAGTGGTTTGTAGCATACTGAGACTTGTGCACCCATCACTACACCAAATTTAGAGCTTTTAATCACCCCAAAATAAACCCTGCACCCCTTAGTCATTGTCCCTAAATTCCCCCACCCCTCTCCCCCTGGAAATCACTAACAATGTGTCTCTGTGGATTCTGCCTATCTTGAATATTTCATATACAGTAAACGGAATCAGGTAATATGTGATCGTTTATCACTGGCATCTTTCACTTAGAATAATGTTTTCAGGGCTCACACATGTTGAATGCATCAGAACTTTGTTTCTTTTTTATGGATGAATAATATTCCATTGTATGCATGGAGCACATTTTGTTTATCCATTCATTAATTGACGCACACCAGAATAATGTCCACGTTCTAGCTCTTATGAATAGTGCTGCTACGGACATTTGTGCACAGGTTTTTGTGCGGACTTACGTTTCATTTATCTTGGGCACATACCTAGAGTGGAATTGCTGAGTAACTCAGTGTTTAACATTTTGAGGCACGCCAGACTGTTTTCCGAAGCAGCTTATCATTCCACATTCCCACCCGAAGCATATGAGGGTTCTAATTTCTCCGCCCTAGTAAGCGTGACGTGGTACCTCACTGTGGCTTCGGCTTCCGTTTTCCTGATGGCTAATGATGTGGAGCATCTTTTTATGTGCTTATTGGCCATTTGTATATATAAATATTTTTATGTTAAAAATCTTGAATTTATAATAAGGTTAATATCAATAAAGAAAACCCTCACTGGAAAAAAAAAAAAAGAGCTCTTTCAAGTTTTTAGCCTGTTCAGAGGCCCTAAGACCATAAAGTTTGCAAACCACCAGCTGGTGTTAAATATGTCAAGGTGTTATTCTAATGGAGATCTGCCTGGCACTTCTCTTCCCTGATGAGTGCTCTTCATTTTCCTAGTGAGCCTCTCTTCCCCAGACCAAGGAATGAAGGAGCGCTGCCCTTTTAGTTGTAAGACAACAATAGAAAGGGGATTTGCTTTCCTGAGTCATGCCCAGACCCCATGGCAAGTCCGTGCACCAGATCCAAGTCCCACCCTTCCCCAGAATTGCCAGAGAGACTGCAAGATCCAAAACAATTTTAGGAGAGATAGCTATGAAAATACAGACTTGGGGGGTCCCACATTTCTTACTTTTTTCTTTAGTTGCAACTGGAGACGAAGGCATTCAGCCAGCCGGTTCACAGCAGGATCAGGGAGTAGAGAGCAGAGAGAAAAGTCAGCATTAGACTCAGATCACTGCAGGAACCAAGGGGGCCAGAGACAGATGTGTCCCTGGAGACCAGCTGACCCACCCACTGCTATCGATAAGGCTACTCGGGCCCATCTGTCAGCCTATCCATCCATCTGTACATCCATTCAATCATCCTGCATCCAACCAACATTCACATGGTACACACTCTCAGCATTGGCCTGTGTTGGGTACTGGAGACACAGATAAATCAGATTCAGCCCCTGCTGTGTAGGTGTTTGCAAGGCTGACTAGAAAGAGAAGTTCTGGTATAAGAGTACACTAGACATCCCAAACTGTGTTCTCATGGAACTTGCTGTCTCTGGATGTCCCAAACAAGCTTAACCTGTTCAAAACAGAATCTGCAGTCATCACACTCCTGTCTATCAAAAAATCATCTGTTAGTACAATATGTTTTATTATTATTTATGTATTTGTTTTTTGCAGAGATGAGTGTCACTATGTTGCCCAGGCTGGTCTCAACCTTCTGGCCTCAAGTGATCCTCCTGCCTTGGTCTCCCAAAGTACTGGAATTAAAGGCTTGAGCCACTGCTCCCAGTCAACAAATATCCCTGAGTTTACACAGATATAAACAAATACAATACTTGAATAAATAAATGGGGAAGAAAAGACAGCTTTTCCTTACAGAAAAATTCCATCGAATCTATGTAAAGGGAACAAGGGGTGTAGATAATCACCATTAGAAAAACACTGTAGCAATCATTTCTGCAAGCAAGATCCGCAGATGTATGCCAAAGTTAGCGGGCAAACATTGGAGGAGAAACAGCGTATTTGCATAACCTCGAAATTTCTCCCCCAGCACATTTAGTAACTACAAAGGGGAAAATAATAACCACAGTGGAGAAGCCGGGCAGACACCACCTTAGCCAAGTGACTAAAGTTAACACCATGAGTAATAAGACACATCAACATCATGCGATCCCTGATATAATTCCCTGAAAATGGTATGAGACCACTTCTGCAGTATTCCCGCCCCAAATGCATAGTCGCAGTCCCATTGTGAGAAAGCCTCAGACAAACCCAAATTGACAGACATTCTGCAAAACAACTGTATCAGATCTCTTCAAATGTTTCAAGGTCATGAAAGACAAAGTAAGATTGAGGAGGTTCAACCACACGTTCTAAGGACACATCCCCAGACCAAAGGAGATGGGATAACAAAATGCCCCATGGTTGAGCAAGAGCTGGATTTCATGCAAAAAAAAAATTTTATTTGAAAATACGAGGTGGGATCCTGGATTGGATCCTCAAATAGAATAGTGTTTCTATTAATAGAAAAATTAGTAAAATTTGCATAAGTCTGTAATTTCTTTGTTTTGTTCTGATGTTAGGTCTCAGTTTTCATCATTGCGCTTTGGTTAGGTTAGATGTTAATCGCTGAGATAACTGGGTGAAGACTATTCAGAAAGTCAATTTTTGTGACTTTTCTATAAGTCTAAAGTGATTTCAAAATAAAATTATTTTTTTTAATGTGTTGCCCTACAGAGTTTTGTTTTCTTTTGAGTCTTGCTCTGTCACCCAGGCTGGAGTGCAGTGGTGTGATCTTAGCTCACTGCAACCTCCATCGCCTGAGTTCAAGTGATTCTTCTGCCTCAGCCTCCCTGAGCAGCTGAGACTATAGGCACCCACCACCATGCCCGGCTAATTTTTGTATTTTTAGTGGAGACAAGGTTTTGCCATGTTGGCCAGGCTGGTCTTGAACTCCTGACCTCAGGTGATCTGCCTGCCTCAGCCTTCCAAAGTGCTGGGATTACAGGCGTGAGTCACTGCGCCTGGCCTCTACAGAGTTTTCTGATCTCGGTTAAGGGCATCCTCAATTACTCAGCTGCAAATACATTTATGTATCGAGAGAGCGTTTCTGTACGCTTCTCTTTCTCTAACTGACAGCATCTGACCCATCACTGAATCCTGTAAGCTCTTTCCTCAATGTCACATCACCTTGCTGACCGAAACATTTTCTAACTTGTGTGTTTGCCCCTACTCTGATTCCTACCAAATCCATTCTTTCCTGAGGGGCAAGACAGATTATTTTAAACAAACACACACACACACACACACACACACGCACACACACACACACGCAAACACTCTTAAATATGACACTGTTTTGCTGAAAACCTTTTAACAGCTTCCTTTTCCCTTCAGATAACACCCAAAATCATTCATGTGACCCACATGCCCCTGTCTATTCTGTTTCCTGCCTCCTCTCTCTTACTTGTAACAATCCTTCCGCCATGCCCCTCCCTCTGTCTGCCATGTTCCTGACACACCATCTTCTCTCTAATGAAAGGACTCGGTGCCTTCTGCCCCAGGACCTTTGCATATGCAAGTCTCCCTGCCTAGAATAGTCTCTCCTAACTCTTCAGCTGGCCAGCTCCTATTCCTCACCTCAGATGTAACTTTTCTAGAGAGGCCTTTCCTGAATCCCCACACTAGAATGTGTTTAGGGTGGGAGTTCCATGAAGACAGTTTCTTAACACTGTATTCCCAACATCAAGCTCGTGGAAAGAACCAGGAGTAAACATTTGTGGATCAAATGAGGAACGAGGAACTCAGTGTTGTGACAAGACTCAAGTCCTCTTCCTGGTATACTCCTTTACATTGCAAAGGTCTGGAGTCTCACTAGAACTATCTAACCACAGTGAGGTTAACTTCCAGACACTGCACAACATGAGCTCATCAATGACGTGCAACAGTCCTGTGGACTGGGGGTTCTTGCGGGCCCCATTGATCAGATGAGGACAGCAAGGCTTGCAGAAGCAACGTCCCTCCAAAGTCACAAAGAATGGGTGAATAAAAACCAGGATGCAGACACAAGTCTATCTCCAAGGACAGGGGCTAGCAACCTAGACTCATTCACCCCACCGTGTCCATCAGGGAAAATATGAATATCTAAATACAGAAGCAAGAAGAAGTCTGTTAGACTTCAGGAGCTTCTGTCTGAATCCAGCCCATGAGAGCCTCCCCAGTTGTAGGAAAATACACAGGGGAGACAAGGCGTGGCCGAAAGCATTACCTTCACGAGGAATACAGGCTTCTGCCAATCCCAGGAAAAGCAGAATCAGCAGCGACATTTTTAGAAATGGCTCTGATCTGTGCATAGTGGGGCTGGAACTTGGGCTGAATGTTCTCCTCTCAGGATAGTCAGGACTCTCTGCTCACCCACTGTCTTCCCAGACTCCAGGGACAAAATGAACTGCCCACACCTGCCCTCTAGCCTGCCTGGAGGCTGGCAGGTCTCCAGACCTGTGCCCACGCCACCAGCTGCTGACCAAAGAACCATATCTGCCTTTTCATCTTAAAGCAACATTTTAGAAGAGTTTCATGCTAAGCGTGATGCTTGTCATCCTGTGATCTGCAGGCCAAATCCTGCCCTCCTCCTGTTTTTGTAGGGCCTATGAGCTAAAAGCAATTGTTATATTTTTTTTTGCTATTTTCTTTTTTTTTTTTTTAAGAGACTTTCAAAGCTACTGCAAATCAATTGTTATATTTTTTAATGGTTGGAGGGGAAAGACAAAAGGAAACATTTCATGACATGAAAATCATAGAGAATGTGAATTTCAGTGTCCATGAATAAAGTGTTATTGGAACACAACCATGCCACTTCACTGTGTATTGTCTACAGCTGCTTTCAGCCTACGAGGCTGAGATTTGTAGTTGTGACAGAGTCCATCTGGGCTGAAAAGCCTAAAGTATTTACTGTCTGGCCCTTTATAGAAAAAGTTTGTGGGCCCTTGTCCTAGACATATTATAAATTTCAGAAAAACAACAAAGCAAGCAAACAACAGCTATTGTATTTCTACCCAGGGGTAAGTATTATTTTTACATTTTTGTGTATATTCCTTCCCAAAGATGTCTGTATTTCTACTTATCTCTAGCACTTACTAGCTGTGCACCCTGAGCATGTTAACCACTGTGTGCCTCATTTCTTCATCTGTGAAATCAGGATAATGGTATTTTCAGTTTCATAGGGTTGTTGGAAAAATTGATTTCAGATATTTCAGATATTTGTATCTGTAAAGCACGTTGAACAAAATGCATATTATCTCTGTGTGTGTATCTGTATTAAGAATACAGGCCAGGTACAGGGGCTCATGCCTATAATCCTAGTGCTTTGGGAGGCTGAGGCAGGAGGATCGCTTAAGCCCAGAAGTTCAAGGCTGCAGTGAGCTATGATTGCAACACTGCACCCCAGCCCAGGTGACAGAGTGAGACTCTGTCTCAAAAATGAACAAAAACAGCCAGGAGTGACGTCTTATCCCTGTAATCCCAGCATTTTGGAAGTCCAAAGCAGGAAAATCACTTGAGGCCAGGAGTTTGAGACTAGCCTAGGCAATATAGTGAGACCCTATCTCTACAAGAAATTTTTTTTTTTTTTTTTTTGAGACGGAGTTTCGCTGTTGTTCCCCAGGCTGGAGTGCAATGGCGCGATCTTGGCTCACGGCAACCTCTGCCTCCTGGGTTCAGGCAATTCTCCTGCCTCAGCCTCCCGAGTAGCTGGGATTACAGGCACGCGCCACCATGCCCAGGTGATTTTTTGTATTTTTAGTAGAGACGGGGTTTCACCATGTTGACCAGGATGGTCTCGATCTCTTGACCTCGTGATCCACCCGCCTCGGCCTCCCAAAGTGCTGGGATTACAGGCGTGAGCCACCGCGCCTGGCTCTACAAGAAACTAAACATTAGCTGGGCATGATGGCATGCACCTGTTGTCACAGCCAATCAGGAGGCTGAGGTGGGAGGATTGCTTGAGACCAGTAATTGGAGGCCACAGTGAGCTATGATCATGCCACTGCACTCCAGCTTGGGGACAGAGTGAGACTCTGTCTCTAAAAGAAATTTAATTTTTTTTTTAATTTTTAAAAAAGAATACCATGTACAGTATGCATATATCACATATATACATATGTCTAGTATATGCATATATGTGAGACCTAATAAATGAATGCATATCTTAAGGCATGATTATTTCATGCATAAAGAATTTAGGCTGCTTTATTTTTTAATTTCTTTACTTTTCAGCAGCAGAAAAATATAGACAAATAAAAAATAAAGACAAATGCTTTATTATTTATGCATGGTATGTGCTAAACATTTCTCCAAGGCTTCAAATGTTTGTTGACTACAAAGTTAATAAACTGTATGATCAAAGAGATCATACAGTGTGTGACAATTTTGAAATTGGCTTTTTCCACTCAGCATAATGCCATTAAGATCTGTCCAAGCAGTGTGTGTTTAAATGCTTGTTCCTTTTTATTGATGAATATTCCATGGCATGGATATATCACAATTAGTTTAATCATCTACCTATTGAGGGGCATGGTTGTTTCCAGATTTTGGCTATTGTAAATAAACTAGACCACTTAACATTTAATATAATCATTGATATGCTCAAGTTTAAGAATACCACTTTGTATTTTATTTTCTGCTTTGTTCTTCTATTTTTCATTTCACTATTGTCTTTTTCCTGTCTTCTTGTGAAATTTTTAGAATTCTATATTTATCCATAGTGATTTTGAGTTTATTAGAGATTTTTAGTGGTTGCTCTCAGTATTAAGTTATGAATACACAACTTACCATCGTTAAACTGACTCATTTTAAAAACTTAACTAGATCCATGTCATAGGAGGCAGAAGAAAGACCTCCTAAAGATGTCCATATCCCAACACCTAGAACATATGAGTATAGTACCTTACATGGCAAAAAGGACTTTGCTTATGAGTCAATTAGGGATTCTGAGATGGGGATATTATCCTGAATTATCCTGTTGAATCCAATGTAACCATAACAGTCCTTATAAGAAAAATAGAAACAAACACAGTCGAATCAGAGAAGAACATGTGATGACAGAAGCAGAATCAGAGAGAGAGACAGAGAGAAAAATTAGCCAGGTGTGGTGGCAGGTGTCCATAATGCCAGCTAGTCAGGGGGCTGAGGCAGGGTAATTGCTCAAACCTAGGAGGCGGAGGTTGCAGTGGCCCGAGATTGCACCACTGCACTCCAGCCTGGGTAACACAGCCAGACTCCAACTCAAGAAAAAAAAGAGAGAGAGACACAGAGAGAGAGATTTGAAAATGCTACATGACTGACTTTGAAGATGGAGGAAGGAGCCGTAAGCAGAATGCAGATATAGCCTCTAGAAGCTGGAAATGGCAAGGAAATGAATTATCCCCGAAAATGTCCAGAAGGAGCACAGCCCTGCCGATACCTTGACTTTAGGAGACTTCTGACCACTACAGCTGTATGATAGTAAATTTGTATTGTTGTAAACCATTAAGTTTGTAATGATTTTTCATAGCAGCCACAGGGAACTAATTCTTTCCACTGGTAATTCTTAGAAATTGCTTAGACAGTCAAGAGCTTTGGCTGTCAGTGGAGATAAGACCCAGTATCCTTCTGGAATAAAGGCAGAGTGTAGTGAGCACTGGTCTGTCTCAGCTCTGAAGGCTTTTCTTTTTTTATTTTTACTTTTTAAGACAAGAGTCTTGCTCTGTCACCCAGGCTGGAGTGCAATAGTGCAATCTTGGCTCATTGCAACCTCTGCCTCCCAGGTTCAAGCAATTGTCCTGCCTCAGCCTCCCAAGTAGCTGGGAATACAGGTATTTTTTAGTAGAGACAGGGTTTCACCGTGTTAGCCAGGATGGTCTCCATCTCCTGACCTCATGATTCGCCCACCTCGGCCTCCAAAGTGCTGGGATTATAGGTGTGAACCACCACGCCCAGCCCCGAAGGATTCTATGGTACTTCCTTCAAGCCTGATAGAAACAGAGAATTGTATGTGGTCTCCTGGAAGGAAAGAGTTCCAGGCATGGAGGGATGTCCACTCTTGCAGGGGACTCTCCTGCTGCCATCTCTCTGGTGCTGTCTATGTTGCAATCCCAACTATGAGCTGAACGATCTCATGTACATTAGGGGATACCTAAGCAATCCCTCAGACTAGGCTGGAGGGGAGAGTTCTTCCTGGCCATTTGCAACGTTCCAGAGCTCCCCTCCTTTGTGAGCACAAAGTTCTGGGAACTCATCACTGGGAAAACATGGTACCGCAGGATTCATTATAACAGGAAGAAACAAAGGGCTTTTCACGTCCTGTGCTACTCGGAAACCAACAAAGACCACCCGGTGAAAACAAGCAAAGGCTATTAATTCAGCGCTTGCTCTGACAAGGGAGTCAACCCACACCATTTGTGTTTGGCACAGACTCAAAGGCAGGCAGGGTAGTGGGAAAGCTTAGAGTGAAAGAAAGGGAAGGCTTCAAGAGTGCCTGATTGGAGGCCGTTGGCATACGGAGCAGTGGCTGATCAGAGGCCATTGTGATTGGTTGGGGGAGCATATTTGGATTTTTCTGCTCAGTCCAACATTTCGATTTTCCATCCTTCCTTAGCAGCCTGGTTACCAGCACAGCTGTTTCTTTGCTTCATCAAATATAATAATAGTCCCTAACTCATAACACTAGGGTTTAAATGCTGCAAATGCCTGGGAGGTGGAACAAAATTAATATTCTTTAGTATTATCCACTCTGTCAGACTGATTTGGGGACAGAGATGAATCAGATACTGGCCTTGCTCATGAAGAACTCACGCTTTAGGAAAGATCAGGATTTCTCAACACTAGCACAGCTGACATTTAGGACCAGATCATGTTTGTGGTGGGGGCTGTCTCAATGCTTTGTAGGGTGTTTAGCGATACCTCTGGTCCCTAGCCACCACACAGTAGCACCCACCCCGCACCAACCACCAACTCCACTGTGTTTTGGGAGCCACAACGAAGAAGTGATGAGCTTTTGGTGCTTTTTTTTTTTTTTTTTTTTTGAGACGGAGTCTCACTTTGTTGCCAGGCTGGAGCGCAGTGGCGCAATCTCAGTTCACTGCAGTGTCTGCCTCCTGGGTTCAAGCGATTCTTCTGCCGCAGCCTCAGCCCGTGCAACCATGCCTGGCTAATTTTTTTGTATTTTTAGTAGAGATGGGGTTTCCCCATGTTGGCAAGGATGGTCTCGATCTCTTGACCTAGTGATCTGCCCGCCTCGGCCTCCCAAAGTGCTGGGATTACACACATGAGCCACTGCTCCCAGCCCTACTTTATTTTAATTATACTTACTTAAGTTCAAGTTTATACAATTTAGTTTTGAGTACTGGGCTATGTTTAGCAAACAGCTAAGTTGAGGAAGTTTACCTCAACGTAAAAAGTTTTTAAATGTTGAAAACCAAAAACTTAACAATGGACCCTCATGATAAGCTGGTCCCAATACACCAGTGTAATATTATTTCGTGTGTTTTTACATTTCTTCTAAATGGTATTTTACTGAATCTTTCTTGCATAACTTGCTTTTTTTTTTTTTTTTTTTTTTTTTTTTTTTTATACCCAACGTG